CAACTTTTCTTACTTCTTATTGAAATACAGTAAAAGCTCTTTATTCGCGGGGTATACGTTCCATAAATATGCCGCGAATACAGAAAGCGTGGATATGGAATGGTAATTAGTATGGAATCATAGGGGATACGTTCTAAATTTCCAAAATAAAACCTATATATATCAAAATAAAATCAATGTATTGATAAATTCGCAATTAAAATTAATCGTTATAATCAGCTTTAGGCAAGCGTTTAATCAAAAGATGCTGATACGTTGAAAAATAACACCGAATCCGCTTCTACTCGGTTAGATTTTTTACCGCTTCGGCACGTACCAACAGTACACTCTCAAAAGATGCCTATACATTAAGGGGATTCAGTAGTACACGCGCCGTAGAGTAAAAACATGCTTATCGGTTCTAGATATCATGAGTTTAATGTTTGGAACAGAGGTTTGAAATTTTGTAGTGAGATAGATAAAGCTTTGTTCTAAAACTTGTTGAAGGCCATTTTTTATTTCTATTGAAAATACGTGTCCTACAAGAACCATAAACTTTAATCGCTTGTAAATGCTTTTAATGACCGTATTATTGAAAACCAAAAACGTACTGAGTTAGTGTGAACCTTTGTCTGTTACCATACAAAAAATTAGATATTTATCTTGCAGCGTTAAATCACAATGTTTAGAATAGAAACCCATGTTTTTGAAAAAATTCACACTAGACACGAACGGTTTATTGCGGTCAATACCTTTGATAAATGACGCCGAATCCTTTTCTGTTTACCGATTGCAACCGCGAATAAGGAAACCTTGAATAAAGAACTTTTACTGTATATGAATAACAAATAAAAGTTTAGAAAATAAAATAAAACTAAATGCGTCCCATTTATTCAACATTTTTTAATATTTTTCCACTTACAACGTTCGAGATAAAATTGTAATCTTATTATACTGACTGATTTGATTCTTAATTTAAAACGTCAAATATTAGGGGTTATAATGCGACACCATCGATTATGCTTACATTGTACATACACACGTAAAATTTAATTATGTAACATTCATGTTATATTATAGATATTTCTACGAATTTTATTAGACAATTACATTAAAATATATATATTAATTAGCGATGATAAGTATGCGTGGTTGTAATTAGATGTAGATACGCCACGTTTACTTTACAAAACTAGTCTGTGATAAATAGGAAGATTTGGTTCCCTCTGGCTTGCCAAAAGTTGAGAGAGAGTGTAGAATTCATTTTTAGACCTTGCAGGACCATTTAAGTATCTTAATTCTCTTGTGGGGTCATTTCTTCTTTCGGATAGGAAGTATCTCTTCCTTTTGTTCTCAGAAAAATCATCCCATTGTCCTCGTTTGTCTTCATAAGCGAAATTAGAACTTGATTTCGGGATATCTCCTATTCGGCCAATGTGAGGATAAACCGGTGCTTCCAGCCAATTTTCATCATCGTCTCCTACATCATATTCGTCCTTGTCATGATCCTTATTCTGATTTTCGTCATACGTTGACCAAATGGGATGGTAGTTGTCTTTTTGTGATGCATGTCTTCTGTCGTTTTCCCAAATCTGGAGAATAGTTAGCCACTCTTCTGGACTCAGATCGATGTTCCGTTTATTCCTGTTTCCCATCCTTAAAATAACAAAACCTATCAACCAACGTAATCAAAATAACAGAAAATCTATTGGGATCCGTCAAATGGGAGGGGCCTAAAAACATGGCGCCGATTAGGGAAAATTTATCGTAGTTCCTATAGTATGCCGTGAAATTTCCAAGTTTTTAAATTACGATAAAATGATAAGTATTGATACAATATGTGATTGGGCTGACACAAAGCTTCGAAAAGGAAATTTCGTTGAAGATGAGCGTGTTTTTAATGTCAATCACATTATAAAATTCGGAAATAACAAATCCGGAAGCTAGCCTTCAAATTTCGCCAAGTTTACTGCCTACTTTTTACAAACTTCGGATTTAAAAAGTGATTCACGTTATATAATTGGTGAGGTGATTCTAGGTGATTTAAGCAATATCATATCAATGACTTGCACGCGCAAAGCCGATTTAAGAGAACGTTGCAAACACATTATTGCAACTTTCTTGTATTGCAGCAGACATGTTCTTAACCTCAAAATACTTATATCGTATCATTAGAATTGTGTTAAATCAATTACACAGGAATAAATAATTTCTCACTTTATAATTTTAGTATGATTCTAGTTTTGAATATTAAGGTTATGGCTGATGTAAATACTTGCTGAAATATACTAATCATGTGACAATTGACTTCTTTGATAATTTTTAAGTATAACCAAAAATTATCTAAATATTCAAATGTGTTTATAGGATTGAAAATAAAGGTAAATAATGTATTTTTAAATTAAAAAGACATGACTAATGGGGACTTAGTTTATCAATCGTTTAACAACCGGATTGGATGTGATGTCATTATTCAGAATCTCCATACGGACGAGTTGAGTAATTCATATAAACAAAAATAACAAAAACATGTGTTATGTCTTTGCGTGTTTTGGAAAATATACAGGTAAATACCTGTGTACGCTGTCATCCCTTAATTTCTGTTTTATTTGACTTTAAAAGCAGTTTTACAAAGACCTCTCAAATTTTGAAACTTTGGTTTACCTCAATCTTTGGCTATCATTTAATGTTTACTTAACATATACGTACGTAAAATAATTTGGTGATTTAGTTTTAAACTGGTGTTTAAGATTATAAAAACCAAAATAAATTTTCATTAAGTAAGAACATGGAGGAAAAATACATTTTATTTCTTCTATTTATTTTTCACCTTTCGGTAGCTTGTTTCTCAAAGCAATCGATATAAGCTGGTAACCGTAGAAACATCTAAACAAAGATTTTCTCGTTCGTCAGCGTTATTTTCTTCTTAAATAAGAATAAATAAGAAGCTTGGTTTCGAAGAGAACACTTCAAAGAAGCCTCACAACATACGCTACTTTAATTAATACGTAGAAAATTTTACGATAAGAGATTACACAATTGTCTACGAATGTTTTTCTTCGTACGATTCGAAGCAAAATACTCTTTAAAAGTAAAAGCAATTTCAGAAACATCGTTACCATTTCATGTAGCTACCTAGAAAGAAAAACAGGACCTTTTTTTAAGGTCACGTCGATGATGCACAGAACTCATACAATAACTATGACGATCCTTCGTAATCTAATGACTCTAATCTAATGTGTCTAGCCGGAGCCATTAACATCTCCTTTCGTTTATCAGCCAATTTTCTCAAAAACTACACAATGGGGAAACTTAGCAACAAATTTTACTAAACTTTTTCACAAAACCCTCTGTTAAAACTCGGATTTAATAGTTTGTATTTTAATTAAATCGATAAAAGTTGAGGTAATTGAAAATGAGTTGATTTAAAAGCATGATGAATGATTTTCTTCGATATTGGAGTATATGTTTTATCGAAAAATTTTAATTTGTTTTTATTGGTATAGTTTTGTTGTGTCCACAATTAGCCCTGTTCCCTCCTGTATCTATCAAGTACTTTTTGTTAATTTTATTTTGATCGCACTCCATGTTCCTTTCATCAATTAATAAAGTTCTACTTACGAGAAAAGCTTTTTATAAATCGATATCTGCTAAATGTACATGGACACGTTATGAATTCAGGATTTCACATTATTACAGGACATTAATTAATTACGGTCTCTACAGACTGAATATTATGCACGGTTCACTGTGCAACATGGTTTGGAAACGCTTGCTGTAATTCAACTGTCAAAAACAGTGAACTGAAATTTAAAGGTGAATAATAAAAGCAGTCTGAAATAGGTTTGAATAGGATTACAGCACGATTGATTATAATCATATAACAATTATTGAAATCGTTAACCTTGTAGGTCGGTTGGTCGTGGTTGCTGTTGTCACCTCTCGTAGTTTAGTGGTAGAACTTTGGTTCGTAAAGCCAAAGGTCCTGAGTTCGATTCCCGGCGGGGGTGTGACAACAGCAACAATTTTTCCCTCGTTAATTTGTGGTGGTTTGCAGTGGGTAAATAAAAAATCGAAAAAATGATTTCAAATTAATATTGTCAATGGTTACTATAAAACTTGTTAAACAAGAAGAAAAATTGTTGGCATATCATTAAAATTAAGCCAAAAGCCTCCAACCACAAAATCAAACTACATATCTGTATATATTATCTATCTAAAATCGATCAAAATTCATTCTAAGTATATTGAAAATAACAAAACAAAATTGATAAAGGAACAACATCCAGTTGTTCTTTAGTTTGTCTTTGAATTCTTAACACTTGTCCTACATGAAACCTTCACAATCTTCCTACCTCATGAGGAAGTTATTGCATGACAAATCCATTAAAGTGAAAGATCAGCAGGTTTTTGAAACTTTCTGCTTTCCTTGTACCATACATCAAAAGAAATTCTCTGAATTGGATGTTCAACAAGATCAAAATAAGAGTGCAGGCCAACAATAGGTCGCACGACTCATGTGGATGAAAACACGCCCCCATAAGAATACATGTACTTTTAAGCGAAAAAGTTTTTGCAGGCGAGCATTTCACGAGTATCATGAGTATAATATGATCGTGAATGATATCAAATGAGTGCTACATTTGTCTGTAATGTTGAGAAATATTAAAAGCATTAGAAAAGTTCATCGTGGCACTGTCCACAAAGCTGATGTTTAGATGAAGTCGCTTGTTGGACACAATTCTCGATAATTCCTTTATTGTCTGATTTATTTTTTTGAAAAGTTATTGGGTTTGTTAGGTATTCTACTGACGACGGTAATAAAAAATTAATATATAAAGAAAACTGGTATTATTATCTCATTCAATATCCATCCCAGGACTCTTCATCTTCAGATTATCCTTTCATAAGCCCTTTCAACGCCGCAGCAGAAGGAATAACGGAAATGGAAAAACGAGAAAAACCAATTTTGTTGTAAGAGATTTCATTTAAAGAAAGGCAACATATCATCCTCTATTCATTCAACGAGTTTCAGACTCTTACTAAGCGTACTGAAATAATGATTTACCTGACTTTTGCGTCCCTCCGCTTTCGACGTCTTTCATCGAATTGTTCATCGTAGTATCGATACTGATTAGGTGGACTGGAATCTCTGTAGAATTCGGACTTCAATATAGCGTTTTCTAAAGCCTCGTCCAGCTTCTCCCTTTCCACGTTGTACTGATAGCTTTTGTCAATGTCAGACAAAGAGGGTTTCTCATCAAATTGAGAAGAATAGTCGCCAGAATCAGACGGCAAGTCAGGATAATTATTGTTCCTGTTTTTGTCTTGCTGCCAGTCCGAAAACAGTTGTGAAGCTCCTTTAAATATACAAAATATTTCATTGACCAAAAATGTTCACTTCAACACTTCTTTAGGCAAATTTGGACGGATGGGTACGGTTGTTGATGATGCAGAGCATCACATACAACTTAATCATGCCTATCCCTCGCACCATAACCCCAAAATACTAATCTAATACTCTAAACGTCGAAATTTTACGATCAGAATGTGTCTGTTAGAATAAACACCGAAAAGCGTCAATTTTATAGTTACCTCCAAAATGTTGTAAAATCAGTGGAGACAGATGCCTACAATTTGGTTACAAAGCAAAAACACGTTTTTTTCCGTTTCCATTTGCTTAATAAACTTGGATGAAATTTTACAAAACCTGAGCGTTCTACGTTCGAGTGGTTTGTTATTAGGAGAAGTATTTGTTACACTTGAAGAAGCTTCTAAGTGTTTAATTTTATTTTTAATATGGAGTCGCAAGAACTTCAAGCTTCTTCGATTCAGCAATTCCTATTTATCTTTATTTCATTATTACACTGATTTATTTACAATTGAGAAACTTAGAAGCGGAGCTTCACATTTAAAGTTAGGTACTAAATCGACTAAGTTAAAAAAGAAAATGTAATAAATATTCAATAAACTTTTACGAAAAATTATGACTGAAGGAAGAAATATTTGCAGCAAATTCGTTCACATACCTCGTTTTATAGCAGAGGAAAACGTTGAAACTTTCTGGTTATCATCTGAAGCGGTTTCGCCATTAAAAGCTCTCTTTACTAGAAAGAAAAACCAAATTATGTATCTCGTTTTTTTTTTACCAAATAGGTACTTTTTACCAATTAATATGTACATATGTACATGACATTAAAAAAAAATTACAACACCAACGCAAAATGAAATCTGATTCAGTGTCGGAATCCATTGGAAAAGCTTGGTATTAATGTAGTAAATATAGACGTTCTGGTAAACAGCAACAGAAAATTATTGATTATTGATAAAATTGGAAATAAAAGCCATATGTGCCTGTTTTATCGTGTCGTTTATACAGAAATATTATTAGAGCATATCATAAACGGTAAACAACAATTTAGAAATGAGCTTAATATTAAGCGAAGTGTAAATTGCCAGATAATAGATATATATATTGGTGAGTGATGATAAAAATACACTCAAAAATAAATTATTTCTCAACAAATATTTAAATTTGATTTTTTTTAATCGTTTGGAGACTATAAAAAGTATTTCTAGTTGGTAAGTTTAATGTCCAATAAAAAATTAATTTGAAATGAAGCTTACGAAAAATTGGAAAATGCTTTAATACTAAAAAGAAACGTGTTTTTTACCTTTGTTACTTTGTTTAAGTTCGTTAACTTTAACATCTTCTACGAGACTTTGGGGTAGTGAAAAGACGATGCCTAAGTTGAATATAACGGCCACTGTCGTAACTATCCACCGCATCCTGTACCTGCTTCTTTTCCCAACGAAAGCTCTCTATTGACTGGTTCCCAGATGTTGCTGGAGAGCTTTTGAGCTTTTATTGTACGACGCCTACGTTGAAAACGAAAACCGACAGCAACGTTTGTGTTTATCGGCACGAATCTCTTTCGACCAATCACGAATGGCCAAATTCCACTTAAAACTATCAAGAAATATACAAAGTATCTTTTTAACAAGTCCTCTTGTCCTAATTGTTTGTTAAACGTTTATTAAATCTAACCTTTGCGCAGCCTCTAATTAAATGGAGCATTCGTTCTTTAAGTTATTATTACTAGTAATTTGTTGCTAAAACTTTACAAGGAAGAAATAAATTGCCGACTCTCACTTACAATTACTAAAAAACTAAAACAATTTGGGGAGTGAATGTTTTAAAAGTTTAATTGCATTTCGAAATTTTATCCAGTAATTGGCCGAAAATCGTCAAAACTCAAAAGTTCTCCAGTTTTTGATAATACCACCGATAGTAGTCGCCATATTTTCTTGTGTACGCCATAGGTATGGGAATTCTTAACAATAACTAAATAATGCAGGACCAGTAATTCTGGACAAATTATTTAAAAATACAATTAACTCTTAAGTAAGTATAAAATGTATAAAACAAGTATTTGCTGTTAGAACGACCGAACTTTTCCATGGAATTCTAAGAATTTTGAATCTGTGATAATGGATAAATATTCTGGAATTTCCTTGTACATTAAGGGTGAACACATTCCAAAGGAAAACGCTTCACCCCGACCTTGTTTTCTTGCGCATGGTTAATAAGAATTTTCTACAGAAAGAGACGCAGAATGTTCTCGCTCCATCACTTGTTGCAGTTAACATTATCAATTTTTCGGAAATGGACAATCCTACATATGGCTACTCATAGAAAAGGTCAATCACAATACAATTACAAAGGAAAGGTTATAACGTTCTTTCCAGAAGGTAGGCAATAAATAATAAATTGATAAGTCCTGGAAAATTTAGAACACCGCGTAGTAAATGCGATGAACCACTTGTTGAATATTTATCGATTTGTTCAGTCATAATTATTCTCAGAATTAACGTTCGTATCTCAAACAGGTGGGTGTGGTTTCTCAGGTACTATTACATAAAAAATAATTTACACTTACGTGTTGTAATATTATTACCTGTATTAAAAACGGGAGAGCGATTGTGAAATGACATGGGAAAGCACTTAATCCGTTCAATAAACAGATTAGTTTCAAAATAGCTTTATCGCAAAATCCTTACAACGGATAGGCTTTAATAGTGCAACATGATATTCTTCAGTAAATTCCAATAGTGGAGCCTTGAAGCCTATTCTAAAAAAAAAAAACTTTTTGGGCGTTTCGTTCCCACCAGCCACTAATGCTGGTGGGCGGGCAGTCTCTCCGGACTACACCGGAAGATAGGGCGGAAGGCCCCCTTTTCAGGAATCGTGGGAATAGGTGGGTGGTAGTTCGGGTGAGAAAGATGAGACGGACGAAATGAAGACAGAAGAGAACGAAAGATTATCTGTGGAATATTACTATTCCAGCATTTGCCTAAGTGATCCAAGGAAACCATAGAAAAACTTGGACCAAAGAAAAAAGACTCGGAAACGAACCGGCGTCCTCCCGAATGCTAAGGAATAGTCTAAACCTTTAGGTCACTTTGGATTATTATTGTCAAATTGTTAAAAGTAATAGTTACTTTTGTTTCATTTATTTAACGATTCTTGAAGTTTAGTAGATAAAATAATCTACATAAATTTATAAAAATCGACGTGTGTGTGCTTATATTTCACTCTGTAGCCAAAATCACACCTTAATTTATTAATTTGTGTGTGGTGGTAGCCCAAACCTTCCCATCGTGTACTATGTTAATTGCGTGTCGATAGCTGTGAGGCTGTGGAAGATCCGGGGTTTAAAACTGGTCGACCAAGATTCAAAAAAAATATTTGACCCGAAAAGTTAGAACCATTCTGTAATGTATGGGTGGTGAGGATGATTTTTGACGCTGTTAGGGCATTTAGACCAGAGTGTCACCAAAAAATCGTTTAGAATAAGTAAGACTGCACCACTCTATACACTTAAATACTCCTTAATGTTTCTGGATTTGTCTACACCTAGAATGTTCTAGAATATCTACTATTGTCCTCTAATAGAACATTCTAAAGTGAACTGGAGCAGAAGAATCCAGAACGGTCTGAAATGTTTGAGTGGTGGAGGCGGGTTCTGTCTAATAAATTAGTTTATTTTTTATATGTACTTCGACCAAAGTCCTAAAAAATGTTTGGACTCCCCTACAATGTTCGAAATTACGTTTGGGTTGCAAATCGACTACTAAAATGCCCGTTTAGAGTAAGGGAGAAGGCAAACCCAAAAAACCGGGTTGTCGTTAACTAGTAATTATAATAATCGTTTTGTGTTGACTTTCAGAGTTTTATCCAGTATGTTCCACTGAATTCTATTCCATTTTCATGTGCTTCAATAACTAAAATAAATATTAGGAAAAGGTCATTTCAAATGTTAGACAAGGGCAAGGTTTGCGTGGGTTTTACTCGTTGTAAACTGCGTCGTATATTCAGCTGGACAAGTCGATACCTTAGTAAGGCTTTTGTCTAACATTTTAAACACTTCAATTAAAAGCAAATATTGGTAATGACGGCATACTGCTGTATCTCAATATTATAAAAATATACTCAAGTATATGAAGCATCATCGGTTTGGTCAGCGATTTATCGAAACTTTATGGCGTGCTGATGAGATCAAATAAGAACGCAATCACGATCGCCACAATAAATTATTAAATAATCCATCCATATTGAGCAAGTTGATACTTTAGTAAAGCCATTATTTGACATTTGAAATTCTTCAGTTAGCAGCAGATATCGATAGATGGCGACATGCTGCCGTAACCAAAAATTAGTAGTTTTCATTCTAATTTTGTGTCAGCTCTCAGACATAGAAGATGTCACGGTTTTCAAAATGGTTTCGTAGTGTAACATTTGCTTGTACTTATTGATATTTTAAACATTTTAGTTTACTTTCACTGACAGCGTAAACAAAACGGTCGTTGGAGATCCGTCGGGTCGGTTTTTGCATAATAATTAAATATCTACATTTTTTTGCTTTTGTCCTAGTCCATTATGTAAATCTACAAGAAACACATGAATATTCAGCAAGCAATTTTCTTGCGCAAGCTACATTAACCAATTTCTAGTTAACGGAATTAGTGTTTCTCGTTGTGATTCTGTGTTAAAGGGCGATTCATTTTAATAAAACATTTCATATTTATGATAAAACGGCGAATCAATAAACGTAACATCTTAATGAGATTTCTCTATTTAATAACGACTTAATTATAATCTTTTAAAATCGTATGTTGTCTGTGCTATTTCAACAAAATTTAATTTTGGATGATTTTAATATTTGCTTATTTTAATATTTAAATAATATCTGCTTCTTCACTTAATTTCTTTTTTAATATTAATGTAACGCTGTAATAGAAACTTTTAATTAACGCAGATTGCGATTGTACAATTTACCCTGCTGTATATATAGGTAGGGCAAGCCGGGGTAATCGCGCTCACGGGGTAATGGCACCCATATATATATAACCTGATAACTACAATGCTTAGCGAATCGAAATGCGTGATGAAGTGTGTGGAAAGTGATGTCTAAGCAAACAGTGAAAGTCCGCTCTAAGCAAGAGAGAGGAAAGGATCTTCAACGCTAAGACAGCGATTCAAAAGGGGTGTCAAAAAGGAAAGGAGCGATAACACATAACATTCCGTTTATCACATTGATATATACATTTAAAAGTGAAAATATGCGCCGTCCACATCTAGGACGTAAACCAATTTTCAATCAACAGCAAGAACGAGATGCAGTTGAACAAGTTAAGCTTTTGGGATCGTTATACTATGGGCTGACTATAGCAGATTTGCTCAAGATTATTTACAAATACGCTAAGCGACATTACCCCTTTGCTTGACCGGCATTACCCATGGTCAGGGGCAATAGTAGGTACTCAAATCTGCCTTTTTCTACATATTTTATTACTAATTTTTAATAAAAGTTTTATATTTTTTGTCTTAATATATTAATTATTGAATAATCGCACTATTATTATTTCGTCAGAATTTATAAATAAAACTATTAATATAAAAAGCATAAAGCCTTTCCCTTAAGTGAACGTTATTCTTCCTGCTTTCCCTACTTGTATGATAGTTGTCAAATAATGAAAATAACTTGTAAATTGTCCTTTCGTTTTTTAATTATATGAAATATACTGTGCAGCTCTTAATTTTGATGGATTAAAATCAACAATCAATTCTGTGGACCTATGAAAGGGGTGAAATAAGGACGTAATTTGGGAAAGTTCCGCGAGGTGGTAGTACAATATAGTAAAACCCTTTTAATGTTAAAAGAAAACTTTAAAGTTCGGTTTAATTTAAAAAAATTTAGCTTCATATTTTTCATGCCTAAAATTGTACATGCAATGGGTGATAATCGTTTCTGAACTTGATGATAAAAGATGATAAAGTAACAAAGGAATGATTGCTGTTGTGAATTTATTTGTAGGTAACAATTTTCACGAAATATTTAGTCAAGGAAACTTTCCACTTTTGTTATTGATCGTTCGGATAACTTTGAAAGCTTTCCGCCGAATTTTCATCTAAATCAAAAGTTTAACGAAAGATGGCACGTAGCTACGCTTGATGGCCAGGAATTTTGCCAATACAAACTATTTAGTATGATATAATCATGTAGTGTTAACCTTGAATTTGCTAAATATAAACCGCCTTTAGGTTCTGGAAAATAGGAATCTTTGTGGAAGTTATAAACTGGACATATGTAATTAAAAACTAATAAAAAACATATTGAGGCTTTTCTGGACAATAATAAAGTCCAAATATTTTTATTACTTCCTTTACTTATTTTTATTCGCATTTGCAATCAAATACAATTGTTCTATTTGTTGTAATGTATGTTGGATTGTCCAGAAAGTTAAAAAGTTTATTTTAATGAAACTTACCAGGATTATTGTACGGTTTTCACACTATTAGTCCACATAATCTCTATT